GGTATTCTATCGGAATCCGCAATAAAATTTTACTTTTAACAAAATCCCGATGTTTAACACCTTACTTAATATATCACATCATAAGCTTCATAGTCAGGCAGTGGAACGTCGACTCCGTCATCATCGACTGCAGGCTCGGGTTCTTCTTCTCTACAACTTTCCGTGCTGCTACCATTTAGTAGGGCGGAAAAGTGTTCCCTCCATAATTTAAGTACGCTCTGGACATCAGTTACTAGGTCGCCATTATTGTTGTTACAGGAGTACGCCCCGGTCTTTAAACCTTCCGTAAGTCGCCTAACTCTCTGGTAGAATTTTCGGGCATTCTTCCTGTCGGCCAGCATTTCAAGCTCTTCGCACTCACGTATTTCGGCCTCTCTCTCTCTTATTGCGGCAAATACGTCTCGCTTCCCTCTTCAGATCCCTATAGCGGTCCCACATAGCGCGCGTTGCGCCCGATCGCAGCGTGGCTCTGTAGGCGGCATCTTTTTTCTCAGCAGCTTCCTGACAATCCCCATCGTACCAGTTGTTCTTTCGGGCTCGCTGAAATCCGACTACTTCTTCGCCGGCGGTACTTAATGAGCGGGAAATGTGGTTCCACTGCTCGCATATGTCGGTTTGTTGAAGAGTGCTCTCTGAGAGTAGGTGTGAGAGTCGAGTAGCGAAAGCGCTGGCTGTCTGTTGTGATTGCAGCTTTTCGACGTTAAGCTTTCCTTGCATATTTGGGCGCAAATTTTTTGCTGCACAGAGGCAGGTGCGTATCTTGGCTGCAACAAGATAGTGGTCCGAGTCGATGTTCGGGCCTCGGAGTGTGCGTACGTCTAAAACAGTGGAAGCGTGCCTTCCGTCTATCACAACATGATCGATTTGGTTCTCGTTTTTCGGTCCGGAGACAGCCACGTAGCTTGATGGATCTTTTTATGCTTGAACCTAGTACTGCATACTACCATCTTTCGGGCCCCGGCGAGGTCGATCAGCCTCAATCCGTTGTCGGACGTTTCGTCGTGGAGGCTGAATTTTCCGATGGTGGTTCCAAAGATCCCTTCCTTGCCCACCCTGGCATTGAAGTCGCCAAGCACGATTTTGATACCATGACGGGGGCAGCGCTCGTACGTGCGCTCCAAGCGCTCATAGAAGAGGTCCTTGGATGCCTCATCCTTCTCTTCCGTCGGGGCATGGGCGCAGATGAGCGAGATGTTGAAGAATTTCGCTTTGATGCGGATTGTGGCTAGACGCTCGTCCAAGGGGGTGAACGACAGTACTTGGCGACGGAGTCTGTCTCCCACCACAAATCCAACTCCGAATTTGCGCTCCTTTACATGGCAGCTGTAGTAGACGTCGCAAGGCCCCAGACATTGCTTGCCTTGCCCCGTCCAACGCATTTCTTGGATGGCGGTGATGTCAGCTTTTGTCCTTACGAGGACATCAACCAGCCGGGCAGAGGCACCTTCCCCATTAAGGGTCCGGACATTCCAGGTGCATGCCCTCAAATCGTAGTCTTTTAAACGTTTGCCGTGGTCGTCATCATAAGGGGGGGGTCTCATCCGAGGCTTTACCTTGCTTCTTCACTGGAAGTAGTTTTTACGTGGCGGGTCCCAAGCCCAGCGCACAACCCATTGCTGGGACGGGGGTGGTTTCGCAACCAAATACACGGATTCCGATAGAATACCTATATTTGTATGACAAGATTTTTCTGTA